GCCAGAGTAGGGCTTCAAATAACGAAAAATTTCAATCTAAAAAGGACGGAAAGTGTTGGATCATAACTTTTTTACCCTCCTCCTTTCTTCAAGTGGGAAAAATGACAACTGTCTTATCAGACTATGCGTAAACAAATATGAAATTTGTTGGGGGGAAATTTTGTCATTTCGGAATAGCAAAATGAAATTAGGATAAAGTGAAACTGGGTTTAAGGACTAGAATATGGCCAACAAAACTGCCAGTGTGAGTGGACACGGTTTAACGGAAAACAATAAAGGTTTCGATTTAATCACGGCAGCGCCGAAAGGCGCAGCTTGCATGTTGTCTGGTCTTTTGTACGAGCTCCGCCATTTGCTTAATTAATTTTAATTGTTTCATGGTTATCAACAACGTCATTGATTAGGCAGTGTGTTTCTCATTATGGGTCTTATTCTTTCGTGTTTACCCTGAAAGGCGTACTGGTGGTCTTGATGCATGGCGTCCGCCTCGAGTGCTAGAGGTCCCGGGTTAAAGTGGACTTCTAGTAATTTCCCCTGGTCTCTGGGTAGTAAGATCAGACGCTTGTGTGTATTGTTGTGCAGGTAAAAAATCCCTTGGTTGTTGGAAATGGAATAAGAGTAACCTAACGGTGTTGCCCAGGCACAATTTGGAGTAAAAAATCTACCCAAAGTATTTCAGGATCCTCGCCGGTGCTACGGGGTTCGTGCACTGCGCTGAGAATCTTCGGACTCAGGCTGGAGTTAGAAGTAGATTGGGGCACTTATGGGTTACTACCCTTGTGCCATGATGTTGATCCGTCGTCTAAACCTAATCTCATTGGGTGGGGTTTACAGCCATACCCGCCCCGTTTCAATATATCCCGTTTCAGCAAACCCTGATTAGTCGTCTTATACGACAAGCTTGTTGGAAGCCAGTAGGCATATTCTTATTTGTAAACCACAATGAGGTTCCGGAAACAACACTTCTTTTCTTTCTTTTGTCCATACGCTTTTTAGGCTGTACTGGTTAACAGACGATAGTTATCTGAACTCGTTTGCCCGGTATGTGGCGATGTTGTGAAGTCAATGTGTAAGTCCTTATTTTTAGTCGTCCTGTCCCTCGTGCTGTTTATATCTACTCTCACATTCTACGCTCTGCGAGAGGTGAGATATGATTTGATTGCAAAGACTGTACTTCAAGGAACATTAGGGGGTAGTCAAGGAAGAGGAGGGCAAAGAAGAAGAGGAGACCAAAGAAGATTCTGGAATGACCTGGAATGTCAAGATATGGACAGGACTAAGTTATACACTTATTCGTCAAGCAGAAGACGAGAAAGATGGTGGGTTTCATGTGCTAGTGCTTCCATCAATACACCTCCACGACCCTAATGGGTCAAGTGTTTTGTTATCTTATTGTACGCTCTCGTTGCATATTCCCTATATCCAGTTAAGTTGTAGGTAGGTGCTTTGCTAGGAAACAGAATCGTCACGTTTTACCAGCATCCCTGAAGGGGAAGCGTTAGGTTATAAGTGTGACTAGGTTATGTGCACCATATAAAATGGCATTGCGCGCTCCCAAGAGCCCAGAAAAGGATTCCTGCAGTGTTGATGCGGTCAAAGGATACAGACCCAAATTCTGTCCCGACTGGCGAGCCAAAGGGTGACCCAGTGGCCCATGTGCGTGATCCAGGTAAGGCATAGTGTGTACAACTCATATAGTTTCTTGAGTTGGTACTTCTGAATCCTGTCAAGCCATTTATTTCTGGTTGAAGGCGGGGGTGATTCTTAGCAACACGCATAATCACTACCACAATCGGTCAATCAATCGGTCAACCAATCAATCAATCAATCAGGTATCGTCTCCACAGTGAATGTTGGCTGCAATGAATGTCAACAACGGCCTGTCTTTTGTTTTGATTGTATACTCAGACTGATGTTCGTCCTTCTCTAGTTGTTATCCTCCCACTTTGTATCGTTGCCCACCTCTTGCTCTCTTGCCTTCGACCCTTCCGTCCATTGTGGTTTTTAAAAGCGTGTTATGTCTTTTAGTGTGGGCAAAGTATTTAATTTTTCTATTGTTTATTTATTTCAGTAATTCTCCTTTCATTTGTAGTCTTTTCAGAATCTCTGTGTTGCATTGTTTTTTGTTTCACACTTAGTGAGCGTCCAGCAACACAACGTATTTTTAAGCGCTGCTGTCATAGGCTGCATGCAGTCGTGCGATGTAGGCTACACTCTCTCATGAGACTTAGGCTGAGGCGCTAAGAGGGGGGGGGGATGACATTCCCGCAACATAGGACAGGGCTGAGGCTGTGGCGTAGGGGGTGGGAGGGGGGGGGGTGATATTCTCGCAACATAGGACAGGGCTGAGGCTGTGGCGTAGGGGGTAGGAGGGGGGGGGTGTGACATCCCTGCAACATAGGACAGGGCTGAGGCTGTGGCGTAGGGGGTAGGGGGGTGGGTTGACATCCTTGCAACATAGGACAGGGCTGAGGCTGTGGCGTAGGGGGTGGGAGGGGGGGGGGTGACATCCCTGCAACATAGGACAGGGCCTACGACACGAGCAGGGATAATGGCAAGGGAAGTCACTCTCTTTCTGGGCCCGACTTCGTGACATGTTCCGACTTATAAATATCATTGCTACAGTGTACTAACAATGCAGCTGCCACAACTTTATAATTTGATTACATTTCTTTTCTCCAGGTGTTGACTTCTTGGCATTTCTCGTCTCCAGGTGTTGACTTCTTGGCATTTCTCGTCTCCAGGTGTTGACTTCTTGGCATTTCTCGTCTCCAGGTGTTGACTTCTTGGCATTTCTCGTCTCCAGGTGTTGACTTCTTGGCATTTCTTGTCTCCAGGTGTTGACTTCTTGGCATTTCTCGTCTCCAGGTGTTGACTTCTTGGCATTTCTCGTTAGTTCCCGGTGGTTTCATCTTTAAATGGCCGAATCATTTCAGTCTTTGTTTTTCCAGTGAATATATATATATATATTCTAATTTTCCTTGTACTTGTTTCTTTTCTCACATGATCCATTCTAATTTTGTTCACGGCTTTATTTAAATTTTCACAGGTGCTCAGTTTTCAGTGGCTTGGCTTGGTTGGCTTGGCTTTTTACCCCACCAGGACATCACACAAGCGATAAACACCCGATGACACAAAGTGCCACCATGCGGATGAGGATCACTGTGGAGAGGTCCCAGAAACCGCGTTCAGACATTTGGCCATAATGATGACCTGCCTATATTGCGGCCCCTGTCAAAAGCCAGAGTGGGGCTTCAAATAACAAAAAATAACGTCCTAAGAAGGACGTAAGGAATAATATAATATAATAAGTTTTCAGTCGTGTTCTTTGGTCAATGTCGAGCTTGTTACTGATAACACAAGGTTGGTATAAAGACTGCATTTATAATTTTCCTTTGTATCTCTAGGATGGCCGGGATGATTCAGAGACTGGGGTATTCAAACGGCGAATAACGGGTCTAAAAAATTATGGTATTTAGAGACAAGAGGCTCCACTATAGTGCAGTAGTTTTTTTTTTCTCCCTGAGATAACCCTAGATCTCTTGACAGGGTGGGTGGTCGCCCGCAGGCAGCGGAGTACAGTGCACAACGTATCGCAGTTCTAGCTACGATTCATGAAAAGTTCCGAGAACGAAAGACTTAGGAACAGAATCTACAAAATCTGGAGGGCGTGATAAACAACTTAACGGCTTTGGTACATTGAGGGTTAGGGTTAGGGAAGTTCTAGATGTTTTGGGATCGTTAAAAGCATCAACGAGCGGGAAGCCCAGTTTACCACACTCTAAAATGTTGGAATGTCCTGTGACGTCATATGGGGGGTAGGATATTATTAAAGAATCATTTTTTCTGACGGTAGGCAAAATCGGCACCTTCTTTGGCATTATTTTCTTTCTGTGATATTGTAATCGATGTCTTAAAGTGAGAACCGGCATAGTTTGTTTTAAAAACCCTGATCGTTATTATTATTCTTCTTACTAAAATAGTCATTTTTATTATTGCTCTCCTAATGATCACTGCCTCTTGTATTACTTAAAAATCAACTGATGTTTCTGATACGATCGGCTGTCTATTGAGAAATCACCCGGATTTATAACTATTGCAGCGGACAAAAAGAGACTCACCACCTAAATATCCTTCACGTAACATTAAAACACAGTTGTAATAATGTTTTAGAAATCTAAGATAGCGTATTTTTGAGCGATTGAAATTTGTATCAACATTTTCACTGCAAGACTCCAGAGAAAATGTATCGCAAATGCATCCTTATATATCCAGTGTTAGCTGACATTGAGGAAACGTGTTCTGAACTTTGCATGTTCATAGTATTTGTCCGTTATTCAGCCCCACTGCTCAGACATCCAAATTTCTCCCTTCCAGCAAAACAGCAAATGATTTATGGCATCTTCATCCCTGCCTTGTATTATCAGTGCCAAACAGGGACAATGAGTAGGGCAATACTTTTACTGTTTTCATTTGAAGCATTCTTGTCGTATTCTGTTCTACCTTTCTGGGTTAAAATTTAGATATATAGTGTCCATTGTTATAAGAAAGTGAATATTTATATTTTCGTATCTGATTCATCTAGCTATGTGATATCGCAAACTTCAGTCATCTGTTATATTCTTACCGTGCAAAACATGTTAAAGTTAGTTGCGTATCCTTTACAGGCCGTTGCAGAACCAACCCGAGTATTTTGTTACTGTTGTAGTTTTTCTAGTCAAGTTTACGTTTGACAACATATGTACTTATTCTTCAAATTTCAGTAAATGACTAACATTAAAAGTGTCTAATTTTTCTGTGATTAATTACTAGGGAAAAGTACCTATATTTGCATTTGAAAACTTATGAACGTTTATTTCGTCAGTGGAATAAAGTTGTGAAATATTTCACTGTTTGAATAATTATTAACACTGTGGTGTAGTTTTCCAAAAGCGACTTCCGTGATAATAGACAAACATGTTAATCCGTATAACAAAACAGCCTCCTAAGCAGAACCAGCTATGAGTACGGAAAAAACAAACAGCAAAAGCGTGGAATTTTCAGATCAGATTCAAAATACAAATGGGGCCGACAACAGGTCGGACAAATCAGTTTCTTCAAATCAGATACATGCTGGACAGGCAGATGTACGCTCCGCGGAGACTGTCGTGTCTGCAGATGTTCGGCAAGACAAGTGGTCAGATAATACCAAGAAGGAAGTTTCTGGAAGAGTGGCCAGTGGCTCTTCTAGTGGAGTTAGCAGCAAAGGCTCGGAAATATCAGGTACTCAAACATGATTTCATTTTAAATTTGTCATGCTTTGTCAACTCATTTAGTTAGCTAGTTCATTAGTTAGTTAGTTCATTACTTAGTTAGGTAATTAGTTAGTTGGTTAGACTACCACTACGTCTACTGCTGCTACTAAATCTGCTGCTTCTGTTGTTGTTGTTGTTACTGCTGCTGCTGTTGCTACTACTACTACTACTACTACTACTACTACTACTACTACTACTACTACTACTACTACTACTACTACTACTACTACTACTACTACTACTACTACTACTACTACTACTACTACTACTACTATAACATCTATTTCTACTACTTCTACTGCCTCTACTACTACTACTACTACTACTACTACTGCTGCTGCTACTACTACTACTACTACTACTACTACTACTACTACTACTACTACTAATACTACTAATACTACTACTACTACTACTACTACTATAACATCTATTTCTACTACTTCTACTGCCTCTACTACTACTACTACTACTACTACTACTACTACTACTACTACTACTACTACTACTGCTACTACTACTACTACTACTACTACTACTACTACTACTACTACTACTACTACTACTACTACTATAACATCTATTTCTACTACTTCTACTGCCTCTACTGCTGCTTCTACTGCTACGACCACCACAGCTACTGTACTGTTACATTCACTACTACAAATATCAAAGCTATGAGATGTTTGATAGTCATAAAATGTCCCTTTGCACGACAGTGGCGCATCAAACAAATGTGGCTAGGCTAACTTTTTATAGACTAGCCACCTCGATGGGTTGTATAGTCGATATCACTCTTTACGTGCCAGGATTTTTACCTGCTACCCATTTAAGGCAGAGTGGGCCAGGAAGCCAAGGCCAAGCTTTTAAAACATTTGGCAACATGCAGATTCGAACACACAACCTTTGGATTCGTAGTGTAACCGCTACACCACTGCGGCTGACTTGATAATAATTACTGTGAGGATATCTAATATACTTTAACTGGCTGTTATCTAACATATATCATTACAGACGTTAATCGCTTGTGGTTAATGGACTTAGGACGTATAGTGATAAATAAAAGTATTTAACCTTATCCCTCACAATAGTTTTAGACCTTATTCTGTCAGGTGTGCCTCAATTTACTGTTCAGCCCACGCAGAATAGATGGAATTAAATGGTATGAGAGAAATACTAATGAAGATATGTGGAAAAGCAACTAAACAGGAGCTTAGGCTTTCAACAATCTCACGCCATATCGTCCTAGCCTTTGCTTCGCATACATCTTTGTAACTTCATCCTCAAGCTATAGGGGGCTGCGTGGTCTCGAGGCACGGTGTCCGCCTAGAGTGCTAGAGGTTCCGGGTTTAATCCCCGGCCAGGGCTACTTTTTATTTTCACATGGACTTGGACTTTTAGTATTTCCCGTGGTCTCTGGGTAGTGAGTTCAGACGCCCGTGTGCATTCTTAAGCACTTAAAAAACTCAAGTGGCAGTTGGAAATCGAAAAGAGTAGCCTAACGGCGCCACACGGGGTAAAATTTGGAGTCAAAATCTACCCAAAGTATTTCTGGATCCTCACCGGTGCTACAGAGCCTCTGCACTGTGCTGAGCCTCTTCGGACTCAGACTTGAGTTAGAAGAAGAACGGAACACTTACGGGTTACTACGTTGATACGTTGTTAAAAACCTCAAAAACCTCCAGCTCTCTTCCCCATGTATTCGTTAGCTTTATGTTTTGTCCCTGTGGGTTCCAGTCTAAAAACACTCTAGTTATATTCTTTTCAAAAATGTTCCTGTTCATTGGCGATGTATTGTTTTTAATCTCTTATTGCAGTGTGTTAAGTAGCCGTCCCACATATCTTCATTATTGATTCTGTCAAACCATTTAATACAATATATTTTGCGCAGGCTATAAAATTACCTTGACTCCAAGGTCGATCCAGCCTTGAGTGGGTACCAGGTGCGGTCCTGGGAAGTAAAAGCGGCCGGCATGATGCTAACCACATTAACCATCAAGTGCCGATTGGTCTATAAAATATAGTTCTAGTCCTATATACCCAATACGCCTAAGGGCGTGGAAAAGGGTCCTTGACTTGACTTGACTTATTCAGTTAATGAATGTTTGTAGTTTATTAGTGATTGTTTTTAGACTACTTATCGGTTAGGTTTACGTAAATCTCCGCAAACAAAGTAGGTCACTTTACATTCACAAAGTTGTTGGGCTGGTGGACTTTCCTGAAGGTTACAGGTGTCTTCCGCTCTATTGTTTGCTTTCTGTTTATTCCGTGAAAGAGAATGCCTGTGACAAAGGTTGCAGCACTATCTATGGGAACTGTGTTCCAGTTTCTCCATGTTTTTGGAGTGTTAAGAGCGCTGGCGTGCTGAAATATGCATCACGCGATATCAACGGCATTGCGGAACACCCCCGTAACATTGTGCCAAGGTGACAGGTTCAGGAACTACCAATTAGAAGTGAGCTAGTGGGATGTGGGGAGATTAATGTTACGTGTACCCTTCTTGTCTAATTCAGAAATATGTGACCCCGGTGAAAGATGCATACATTACTGTCTTCCAGATTCATCTTCTGAGAGCTCGGGACCAGGTCAGCCTAGCCTCGGAAAGGAGCTGACAATCGTTGGGCTTTGTAAGAGAGGAGAATGGCTTTTGGTGGAGAGGAAAATTCGAGCTTTGTCCTTAGAAGCAAAAGCCCAACAGGTGTCGGAGAGAGATGAGGTAATTCTGTGAATATTTCACAACCATTTAAATATGAGTTTGTCTACTTTCTTATCTACCGAACTACCTCATCCAACCATCCATCTACCTTCTTACTTATATACGACTAGCCTAACTGTATATCTGTCTACCTACATGTTTACTTGCACATCTGCCGGTCTGCCTATCTATATAATTTAAACACTTTATTAATTACCTAACTACATACCACTATTTTTAACTACCGCCGAATCTACATACCAACAAATTATCTACTTATCCACATAACTCCTAGACATATATTTACCAACACATATCTGTTTACTTAACGGAAGTATGACCGAGAGAAAACACATACCAGTCGGGCTATTTGAATATCTGACACATGTGTGTTCCCAAAGACTGCAGTGACAGTACTGCAGCAAAACTTCACCATGGTGAAGGCACATTTATTTTGAAAATATGTTTTGAAACACTAATAACATAATTTTTTTTCAGCAACATACTGTTAACAAAATTATTTTCTTCCATTGTCTTGATATCTTAAACGTTTACTGTAAAAGTCGTCCCAATGTGGGATGCAATTTTTTGTTTTTTGAAGCCCCACCCTGGCTTCTGCCGGGCGCTTGAATATAGCTAGGCCTAGGACAAAGATATGGCATAACGGCTGAAAGGGGTTTCTGGGACCTCTCTACGGGTGATCATCTGAATGGTGACACTTTGTGACTCTGTGTTTATAGCTTGTATGTCCTGGTGGGGTGCAGCTACCAACCAACTCAACGTTTACTTTTGTTTCCAGGAAACGGGAATGACTGCCTTGATGTTTACTGTTCATGAAAACAAGTTGACCATTTGTAACAAATTTATCGAACTTGGCGCCGATGTCAATGACACCACATATGTAAGTGATATCAATTACATAACATTTTTTTTGGTTATGTCATCATCATTATCTTTTTATTATTAAAATATTGTACTTACTTAATCGCTCTTCTGCTACCATGGGATGTAGAGGTTTGCCAGAAAGATCACCAGACTTCTGTATCAGCAGTTTTATTTTTGGCTTTGTTCCATTCTAGTCCTCTCTCAGTCAGGGAACTTTCGGATTTTGTCTTTCCAGTGAACCCTGATATTATGGTTTTTATTATACTAATTGTGTCATTCAACTGTTTCCATTCAAATCTTTCTGTCTCACTCTTCCATGTTCCTTTATTATTTCCTTTATTTTATCCATTCCCACACTTCTGTTCCTCTTCTGTACCCTCCTCCTCCTCCTTATCATCATCATCATCATCATCATCATCCTGTACTACGGGGAATGACCAGGGGATGTGGTCCACACTCTAACTGCAGAGGAAAGGCAAGACGGTCATATAATCACACTGCTACTGGCATGTTCAGAACTGGAACACTTCGCTGGCTGATGAAGATGAAGACGGAGTGTTTATGGAAATGTACCGAGTACTGTGATGTCAATTCTGAGCCCGACACTCAATACTTAACAGTGAACACCTCAACATTGAACAACTCAACACAACACTTAACAACTCAGCACTTAACACTCAAACTAAACAACTCAGTACATTACTCAACAGTCCATATCTCAACACTTAACTCCCAACAACTCAACATTCTGTTATGCAGTATATACGTCAAACAGAGCTTGCAGTCAATTCCTCTTTTCAGTTGTATTCTGTGCATTTCTGTTGGCATCACGCAAAGAATCTAATCCACCCTCTGTGGCATCACTGATCCATAATTTCTTTTCGATGTTATCACTTCCCCAATCTTTTTATTTCCCAGTTCAGTGCCTGTTTGTGACTCTTTCTTTCATTGATGGGCTCACACATTGCATTTATCCTGTCTCTCTGGTTCTAATCAGTGATCGTATAACTCCCAGAGGTCTCAATATAATTTCGTTTGATTTTTCTCTGCTCGCGATGTTCCCAACATTCATCTCAAATCATGAACCAGGTTTGGTCGTCCGTCGAGGGTATCAGCTCTTTCTGCTACAATCAACGCACTAAGTGTTTTTATAAATTATTTCAACGTACACCAAGCAATAGTTGAATTTATCTGTCATTTGATGTGGTCATACTATAGAAACCGGATGCTTGACCGCTATCAATTATCACATAGCTAGCCATGTCATAACTATAGCTAAGCACCAGCAAGGAGATCAATTTTAGAATTTTGAGAGAATGCATCTTCCCTGTGGCTACACACGGATGTGAGTAGGGAACTATATCTCAGTCCTTGAGAAAGAGAATATGGGCTTTTGAGCTGAAATGTTATAGAAAGATTCTCAGAATATCTTGGACAAAGAAGATGAGAAATATTGACGTCTTAAAAGATCTGAACACCAAGAAAGATTGGCTAATAAACAGCATCCTTTTTTTGAAAGCTGAAATATTTTGGTCATATCAAGCGCCACGACGGATTGGAAAAAAGTATAGCAGAAGGCATGGTACCAGGAACGAGGGGGAGGGGCCGACCGACACGAAGATGGGCACAGAATATAGGTGACTCCTTGAATGTGAAAGTGCATGAGGCGGGAGAACTGGCGAGAGACTGAGTTTCTTTCAGGCAGACTGTGATGAGAGCGACGTTCTGCAAAGGACCTGCTACATGATGATGAAGACACTTTACTATCAATAATTAATTCGATTTCGTCACTTACATGGATAGGCTTCTAGTTTTAAATTCCTACCCCTCTACTCCCCAAATACCTCGATAAATATTAAACAAAAATTATATGGAGTCCTGGGGGCGGGGGGCGGGGAGGGAGACACAACAAACAAACAAACAAAAATACATCAATTTTTGCATCATTTTACCATCTGTCACGCTTCACATCAGATATTCAACTCTCCCAGCCGTTCACCCATTTGCTAGTGTAAACTGTATATACATTTCGCTATGTTTTAGTCCCGCTTGGCGTATCTGTAACAAGTCACCATGGAAGTAAAATTAACGATCAATAGCCATATATTTGACACTTAATGATAAAGTCTTGTTACGGCTCCGTTCCATAGTTGATTTTATGGAGCCGTGTTACTCATACGATTACCCCTTCCGTGAACTCTGCGACCGGCCTGCTGTCCCTTTAGGAATCAGCTGAAAATACTCTCTACTCTATCGACTATTTCAGTGTATTGATCCACCTTCTTCTGCTAAAATGTTACAAAAACAAAAGGCCAGTGTTATGGCATCTATTACCATCATCATGAGCGGTGGACGATTATGGTTAGTCATATTCAATTATCAGCAAAAAGCGGTGAATGGAGAGTGAGAAGCATCAACAAAATTCATAATCTGTTTAAATCACCATTGATCACTGGCATCATGAGAGCTAATTGACTGAAATGGTTGGGGCATATTGAGAGAATGTCAGATGACAGCGAGGTAAAGGCTACACGAGGGAGCTGAATAGTCGTAGACTACGAGGTAGACCAGGAAAACTGTGGAGAGATAGTATACAGGCAGACCTATAAGTACTTGGTCTCACCAGCTAGAAAAAAGGGACCAACCGCAGAGATGAATGGAGGCTGGTGAAATCTGCAGCAGTGAACCTCAAGGGTTCGAAATGCTGAAAAAGTAGACGAAGAAGAAGAAGAAGAAGAAGAAGAAGAAGAAGAAGAAGAAGAAGAAGAAGAAGAAGAAGAAGAAGAAGAAGAAGAAGAAGAAGAAGAAGAAGAAGAAGAAAAGAAGAAGAAGAAGAAGAAGAAGAAGAAGAAGAAGAAGAAGAAGAAGAAGAAGAAGAAGAAGAAGAAGAAGAAGAAGAAGAAGAAGAAGAAGAAGAAGAAGAAGAAGAAGAAGAAGAAGAAGAAGAAGAAGAAGAAGAAGAAGAAGAAGAAGAAGAAGATATTCTATAACCACCAGATTGTTAGGTCAATTTCATTGTTGTAATCGATCATGCCATTTGTTTGAGAGTAGGCTTCAGCCGAGTGGCTAGAATACTGGGATGTCAAGCGGAGCCTTCGGGTTCGAATGAAGTGATGGTAGTTTGTGTCGGTTTAAAAGTAAGTCAGTTGACGACGACTTCACTAGTCACTTAGGCGAACATCCTCGTGTTCAAGCCCCTGTGTAATACACGGCCGTTAAACGTGGTAAAGGTTAAAAGGTTTAAAGGTTAAAAGAGGCTAAGGTCCAGAGGATTCACTTTATTGCACCTGGTTTTTATACCATAGGTATTGGTTTCTCTCCACGGAACGGCTTGCCACCTGCCGAGAGCAACACACAGAGCACGAATTCTGTAGCTCCGGCGACGATCACCATGTTCTCCACGACGCAACCGTGAAATGAACCCATGACTTTCAGAGCGCGAGGCAAACGGCTTGACCACTTCACCATGAAGACCCCCTCCTCCTCCCCCTTCCCCAAAGCGTTGTAGTTACTTACAGTGAAGACAGTATTTATGCCATTCCCTCAAACCATCTAGAAATGCATCCATCTATATTTTGTAACTACCTCATTAATTAACTGCATAGCGAAGCGGTCAAGTAGTTGGCCTCTAGTTCCAAAGGCCGAGGGTTAATTTCTTGGCCGCGTCGCTGGGGTTACGGGTGCAATTTTTACGGAGCCACCTGCAGATCATCGCCGAAGCTTCGGTGTCCATGCTTTTGTGTGACGCTCTCGGCTGGCGGCTAGCTGTTCTATAAAAAGAGACCGAGCTATATAGGACAAAAACCCAGCGCAATGAAGTCGATAATCTCCTCCTGAACTTTTTAACCTTTAACTTTGTTAATAAACATCCAAGGCAGACACGTAAACGAAGTATTACGGAAGCTAGGCCCAGGTACAGGGACTTCTAATCTACCACTCCTCCCTTTCCCCCTCTACAACGTAAAGTAGTCCCAACCAACATAGTACAAACAAGCATCTCATACAAAACAAATTCATCTCAACCCGAGGCAACTGAAGTAAGAGAATACGACGAAGAATGACTAGATGAGAAGGAATGAGGAGTAGAGGGAGAGAAAAAGAAAGCGGGCAAGGAGGAGGTGAAGGAGGAGAATGACAAGATATGTGCAAGCCCACCCCCCCCCCACCCCCACTGCCCTTATCCACCACCCCCTTTTTCTGCAAGATACTATGAAAACGGAAAATGTCAAAACTAGTTCAAAAAGCTTGGAGCCATTGACTACTGGTGTGTTTAGTGACTGCTGATTCGCTCTGGTATAATAAAATTCCGGAAGTGAACAGCGTGACGCGAAAATGAACGAAACAATGACAAATCGTGTGTGTTCTTCATGAAATTAATTAGGACTGGGTGAACTTATCGAATGAGCGAACGGCAGTCCAGAATGTCTGTCTGCCTGCCTGCCTGCCTGCCTGCCTGCCTGTCTGTCTGGCTGTCTGTCTGTCTGTCTGTCTGTCTGTCTGTCTGTCTGTCTGTCTGTCTGTCTGTCTGTCTGTCTGTCTGTCTGTCTGTCTGTCTGTCTGTCTGTCTGTCTGTCTGTCTGTCTGTCTGTCTGTCTCTCTGTCTGCCTGTCTAATGTAATCTCATGTAATCTAATCTAATGTAATCTTTCTATCTATCTATCTATCTATCTATCTATCTATCTATCTATCTATCTATCTATCTATCTATCTATCTATCTATCTATCTATCTATCTATCTATCTATCTATCTATCTATCTATCTATCTATCTATCTATCTATCTATCTATCTATCTATCTATCTATCTATCTATCTATCTATCTATCTATCTATCTATCTATCTATCTATCTATCTATCTATCTATCTATCTATCTATCTGTCTATCTGTCTGTCTGTCTGTCTGTCTGTCTGTCTGTCTGTCTGTCTGTCTGTCTGTCTGTCTGTCTGTCTGTCTGTCTGTCTGTCTGTCTAATGTAATCTAAGGTAATCTAATGTAATTTATCTATCTATCTATCTATCTATCTATCTATCTATCTATCTATCTATCTATCTATCTATCTATCTATCTATCTATCTATCTATCTATCTATCTATCTATCTATCTATCTATCTATCTATCTATCTATCTATCTATCTATCTATCTATCTATCTATCTATCTATCTATCTATATATCGATCGATCTATCTATCTATCGATCTATCGATCTATCTATCGGTCTGTCTGTCTGTCTGTCTGTCTGTCTGTCTGTCTGTCTGTCTGTCTGTCTGTCTGTCTGTCTGTCTGTCTGTCTGTCTGTCTGTCTGTCTGTCTGTCTGCCTGCCTGCCTGCCTGCCTGCCTGCCTGCCTGCCTGCCTGTCTGTCTGTCTGTCTGTCTGTCTGCCTGTCTGTTTGTCTTGTATATTAAAGGAAAAAGAAGTAAAGAAGATGACCAATGAGGAAGTGAAGGGGAAGAAAGATAACTTAGAAAAGGGAGAGGCAGGAAGTAAAGGGGAAGAAAGATAATTTAGAAAAGGGAGAGGCAGGGAGTGAAGGGGAAGAAAGATAACTTAGAAAAGGGAGAGGCAGGAAGTGAAGGGGAAGAAAGATAACTTAGAAAAAGGAGAGGCAGGAAGTGAAGGGGAAGAAAGATAACTTAGAAAAGGGAGAGGCAGGAAGTGAAGGAGAAGAAAGATAACTTAGAAAAGGGAGAGGCAGGAAGTGAAGGGGAAGAAAGATAACTTAGAAAAGGGAGAGGCAGGAAGTGAAGGGGAAGAAAGATAACGTAGAAAAGGGAGAGGCAGGAAGTGAAGGGGTAGAAAGATAACGTAGAAAAGGGAGAGGCAGGAAGTGAAGGAGAAGAAAGATAACGTAGAAAAGGGAGAGGCAGGAAGTGAAGGAGAAGAAAGATAACGTAGAAAAAGGAGAGGCAGGAAGTGAAGGAGAAGAAAGATAACGTAGAAAAAGGAGAGGCAGGAAGTGAAGGGGAAGAAAGATAACTTAGAAAAGGGAGAGGCAGGAAGTGAAGGGAAGAAAGATAACTTAGAAAAGGAAAAGTCGGAACTGCAATCCACTCCATTATCTTCATGTTCTTCATATTAACAGGATGTAAGCTCAGGTGGAAAGTTATGGTTGTTCGTCCACTTCTAGACTTAGGTCTTGTTCCAGAATTTCAGTTTTGGGTGCACATCTGTTTTACATATCTGTTTTATGTGTATGCAGACTAATGGATCGTCACCTCACAGACAGATGCAGGCCGACTTCGATATAAACAGATTTAAGTATTTGACTTTCACGATATGCTTGAGGGTCCATATTCACCGTCGTCTTCACGAGCACCATTATCACCATCTTCATCGTCACAGTTGGTATGTAGACTACAGTCTGTGGGAAGAAAAATTATTACAAGGATGAGAATCCAACACAAATCCCGGAAGCTCTATTCAACTGTACAAAATAGCTATATTAGGGCACCTTACGGTTTTCTTGTCTACCAGGCTTGTGTTCTCAGCACTCTGCTTTAGGCAGTGAAACTTTGTCAACTTATTCGCACCAGGAGAGACGGTAAAATAGCTTTGACATGCGATGCCTAAGAAGAATGCTTGGTATTAATTGGCAGGACAAAACACTGAGGTACTGGAAAGAGTAGGTATTACAACACTCTTCTCAATGCTCAGTCTACGAAGGCTCAGGTGGCTGGGTCAAACCTGGAGAATGTAGAATGGCAGAATCCCTAAGGACATCCTATATGGCGAATTAAAGACAGGAAGAAGATGTCGAGGCCGACCTCTGCTACGATATAAAGATGTGTGCAGGCGAGACATAAATGATACAGGTTTTGAGGTGAACTCATGGGAGCAAAATACCCTGTTGTATGGAGACGACATATCAGGAAGGGAGTGGGAATGAAGAAATAAAACACAGGGTGAGAGCTAAGCGTATGAGAAGAAACAGACTAAACACAAATGTTGACAACAACCGTCCTGAAATCCCATGCTATAATTGTGGAAGAATTTTCTTAACGTGGGCGGGTCTTGCTAGTCACACTCGCCATCGCCATGGGTTGTGAGTCCCATGCTTCCCCTCATAGCGCAATATGAAACCATCGTTTTGAAAGACAGATAGATAGGTACCAGTTAGTTAGTTACTTCCCCGTGTGGGTTCCGGGGCCCTATTATAGGAAAAACAAGAATAGACCCACTGCCTACCCAAAAGCATGTCGTAAGAGTCGACTAATTGGAAGCTTCCTTCGAAGTCGGAGTGCATCTGCCTGAGAGGCAAGGAACAAACAATCTGCATACAAATGAGTCAGATGTGTCAAACGGAGGCACACGCAACACTCAGGTTCTGGAACAGGACTGCAGTCCAAAAGGGGACGAACAACCAGAACTTTTCGCCAGAGTTTACAGCCGGTGAACGCAAAGAAGAAGAAGAAGAAGAAGTTAGTTACTGTTTTATGCAGTGAAATATTTTCCAAATGTCTTTCCAATATATTTCAGCCTTTGCTGCAATTTCCCATTCACCTGGCTTGTGGGCGAGTGAACGGAGCCCTGACGGCCACGAAGATATTGCTAACAGCAATGGGCAAAGAAGGAAGACTAGTCAAAAATAAGGTAAGTATGGGTTACTGGAAGAGGGGAGACTAGTCAAGAATAAGGTAAGTATGGGTTACTGGAAGAGGGGAGACTAGACAAGAATAAGCTAAGTATGGGTTACTGGAAGAGGGGAGACTAGTCAAGAATAAGGTAAGTATGGGTTACTGAAAGAGGGGAGACTAGTCAAGAATAAGGTAAGTATGGGTTACTGGAAGAGGGGAGACTAGTCAAGAATAAGCTAAGTATGGGTTACTGGAAGAGGGGAGACAAGTCAAGAATAAGGTAAGTATGGGTTACTGGAAGAGGGGAGACTAGTCAAGAATAAGGTAAGTATGGGTTACTGAAAGAGGGGAGACAAGTCAAGAATAAGGTAAGTATGGGTTACTGAAAGAGGGGAGACAAGTCAAGAATAAGGTAAGTATGGGTTACTGGAAGAGGGGAGACTAGTCAAGAATAAGCTAAGTATGGGTTACTGGAAGAGGGGAGACAAGTCAAGAATAAGGTAAGTATGGGTTACTGGAAGAGGGGAGACAAGTCAAGAATGAGGTAAGTATGGTTAACTGAAAGAGGGGAGACTAGTCAAGAAAAAGGTAAGTATGGGTTACTGGAAGAGGGGAGACTAGTCAAGAATAAGGTAAGTATGGGTTACTGGAAGAGGAAAGACAAGTCAAGAATAAGGTAAGTATGGGTTACTGGAAGAGGGGAGACAAGTCAAGAATAAGGTAAGTATGAATTACTGGAAGAGGGGAGACAAGTCAAGAATAAGGTAAGTATGGGTTACTGGAAGAGGGGAGACTAGACAAGAATAAGGTACGTATGGGTTACTGGAAGAGGGGAGACTAGACAAGAATAAGGTAAGTGTGGGTTACTGGAAGAGGGGAGACTAGTCAAGAATAAGGTAAGTATGGGTTACTGGAAGAGGGGTGATAAGTCAAGAATAAGGTAAGTATGCGTTACTGGAAGAGGGGAGACTAGACAAGAATAAGGTAAGTATGGGTTACTGGAAGAGGGGAGACTAGACAAGAATAAGGTAAGTATGGGTTACTGAAAGAAGGGAGACTAGTCAAGATTAAGGTAAGTATGTGTTATTGGAAGAGGGGAGACAAGTCAAGAATAAGGTAAGTATGGGTTACTGGAAGAGGGGAGACTAGTCAAGAATAAGGTAAGTATGGGTTACTGGAAGAGGGGACACAAGTCAAGAATAAGGTGAGTATGGGTTACTGGAAGAGGGGAGACAAGTCAAGAATAAGGTAAGTATGGGTTACTGGAAGAGGGGAGACTAGTCAAGAATAAGGTAAGTATGGGTTATTGGAAGAGGGGAGACAAGTCAAGAATAAGGTAAGTATGGGTTATTGGAACATTCTGTGACAACTGAAAATATTTATGGGTAGGAAAAAAAAAAGTATTAAAACAAATGCTTGACAGGATTTTGTCATGACAGTGAAGGGTGTCAGCACATAAAATGATCAAGTAAAGGACCCTTTTCCACGCCTTTTGGTGTACTGGGTATATAGGGCTAGGCCTATATTTTATAGACCAATCGGCACTTAGTGGGTGACGTGATCTGCGCCCTCCTTAACTTCTCAGGATTGTGCCTGGTACCCATTCAAAGTTGGGTCGACTTGGCAGCAAGAGTCATTTAAAAAAAAAAGTGGCGTCTGTTTTTTTTTTTTTTTTAACAAGGGAAACTGGGCGTGTTCAATTTGCATTCTGTGTTCTAGACAACAATAAGCAGGTTCCACACTTTTCTCGTGACTTTTGGACAATGGTGGGAGGATCGCAAGGTGGGTTATACTGGAGCCATACCAGGAAATGTTCCAAAAGACAACACAGTAGGCACATATCGCGGCAGCCATTCTCTAATAGGGAGATGGCTCTGAGCACTCCTGCTGATAAAGATATTTGTTTCGTTTCTGTCCGTCATAACAAAATATGAATCAGCCTATATGTCAGTTAGTGGTGAAATTATAGTTGGTGTCCCCAAGCCCCGCCCTTATACACACTAGCTCACTTCTGATTGGTAGTTTCTGAACCTGTAACCTTGGCATAATGCTACGGGATTGTTCCCCAATGCCGTTGATATCGCGTGTTGTATATTTCAGCACGCCAGAGCTTTTAACTCTCCAAAAACATGTACCAACTGGTCCTAACACAAACACCCTAGAGAGTGCTGAAACCTATGTCACAGGCATTCTCTTTGTCGGAATGAAAACGTGAATGCAAGACATTACAGAAAGCAAACAACAGAGCTGGACACACTCGTAACCTTCAGGAAAGTCGACCAGACCAACAATCTTGTGAATAAAAAGTGACCTACTCTATTTGAGGAGATTAACGTGAACCTAACCCAGTTAGTTTATCCTGTTTTTACCCAACAGATCATTCATTAGCAGGTCATTTTGTTTGCCTTTCTGTTCAATTTACCACTTCCTTCTCTCACAGGATGGAGCGCCGCCATTGTTTATGGCTATCGAATCGGGTAACGTTCCGGTAATAAGAGAGCTGCTATCTCAACTCAGCAGTCAGCAAGTTGCCTGCCAAAGAGAGGTAGGAAGGATTATGTTCACTCTACCTGTTATCTATTTTCAGTCCCGTGCGATAGATTTTCTCAGTTTGATGCAAGTCTCTGAAATGTCGCCCCTAAAAGCTTCATGCTGTCAGATCAAAAGTTCATATGGTATTTTGCTTTTATCGCCCCCTTACGGTGTCGCCTGATGCGCCATAATCTCTGTATCATAGCACTGCACGACCCTGTCTACAAATTCTGCTTTCATCTTAATAATTACTAAAACTCTTTTCGTGTACACAGGTTTGAGCAGTGGAGCAACATCATAACACACGGGTAGTAACCCATAAGTGCTCCGTTTTTTTTCCTAACTCAAGTCTGAGTCCGAAGAAGCTCAGCACAGTGCACAGGCTCTGAAACACTGGCGAGATCCTGAAATACTTTGGGTAGATTTTTGCCTCATTAGGCTACTCTTTTACATTTTTAACTGCCAAGAGATTTGTTACGCGGGCAATGCACACGGGCGTCCGATCTCACTACCCAGAGACCAAAGAAAATTACTAAAAGTCTACTTAAAAATAAATCCTAGTATTCACCGGGGCCTGAACCTGGGACCTCTAGCACTCGAGGCGGACACCATGCATCGAGACCATGAAGCTTTTCCTGGTAATTATAAAATAATGTAAAGGACCTTTTTCCACATCTCCAGACGTATTGTGCCTAAAGGGTTAGACTATGTTTTATAGACCAATCGACGCTCCGTCAACATCACGCCAGACGCCTTTACTTTCAAGGAATTTACCTGGTAACAATTTTAAGGCAATTTGTTTATTATAGTATGCAATATTTGTCTGGGAACATTTTGGATCATATGTATATATTCTGCATTGGGTATGAACAAATTGATAGACTTGGTGCTGCCGCTTCTCTGGGTGGTGAGCTACTTTATAATGTACTGGAGTGGCGAACGCTGTCTAGGATCTAGTGGACTATACACAGAGCACCTATGGATGGAGAGGGCTTAGGCGGGGGAGTGAGCAGAGGTTCAAGACGGCACTGAGTGACCTTTAACCCCACCAGGACCTCATAAGAAGTGATTTACACCCGGTGACACAAACGTCCAACCCCATCAGGACCTCACAACGAGCGATTAACACCTGGTGACACAAACTTTTAACTCCATCCGGCCCTAACAACGAGCGATTAACACCCGGTGACACAAACGTTAAACCGAATCAGGACCTCATCAGGAGCAAATAACACCCGGTGACACAAGCCTTCAACCTCATCAGGACCTCACAACGAACAATTAACTACCGGCCACACAAACATTCAATGTCATCAGGACTTGACAACGAGCGATTAACAACCGGTCACACAAACTTTCAATGTCACCAGGACCTCATACCGAGCGATTAACAACCGGTCACACAAACATTCTTCTTCTTCTTTCGTTCGCCTGAAATAAGTTGTCTATATCAGCAGTTTTGTCTCATGTATAAATTTCACTGTCGTTGTTAGTTCATTCATTGGTCCATAGAGTTTACGTTCCACTGTTGTTCTTTCTGGCCAAAACGTGTGCCTTAATGTGTCAAATTCGGTGTAGTCCTGGAGTACATGCTCTGCCATAGGTGCACATGGCTGATACAGCTATCATGAATTTTGTGTACATGTGGTTACGTAATCGGTTGTGCCCTGTCTGAGGCGGAGGATAATGACTTATTCTGGTCTATCCATAATAAAATAACACAAACATTCAATGCCACTAGGACCTGACAAGAGCGATGAGAATTCCCCCATGCACACATTTCAGAAGCCCCGTTCAACCATTTTGTTAGATTAAGTCCCAAAACGACAGACGAAATGGGGCTTTAATATAATACACAACTGTGTCCCATTTTGGGAGGGATTTTTCTAGACGGCGGCGTCCGTGGTTTAGGCGTTGCGAGTCCGACTCGTAATCCAAAGTACCGCGATCGAAACCCACTGCTGGTTGCGTGGATTTTTATCATGGTACAGGGCGTCGCAGGTCGACCCAGCCTAAAATGGGTACCACGATGGCTGTCCTAGGGAAGTAAAGACGGCCGGCGTAATGCTGACCACATTATCCATCCAGTGCCGATTAGTCTGTAGAAATATGGCACGCTCTTCCCATATACCCGATGCGCCTAAGGCGTAAGAAGGGATCTTTATTTTAGACAACATTTAACGAAAAGAGAACAGGCAGATTTGTGAGGTGCATCAACGCGGCAACTCTTCATTGGCCACAGAAAAATGAGATGGAGTACGTTTTCGAAAGGCTCGAGCGCAGTGATGTCCGTTCATTCATTCATTCATTCATTCATTTTTTTTAATTGTTTGTGATTTTCTTTTTTTTTTTTTTTGATTTTTTTGATTTTTTTTTTACCTGCAGGACACAGGGGACACAGCTCTGCATATCGCCTGTCGGAAACGAGATGTGGACGCTGTCAAAATTCTCATCGATGCCAAGATAGCGCTGGACACAAAGAATGTAAGCCATTCTTTGGTGTCATTCCTTCCCCGCATGTGTTCAGTTGTCCCATTGTTAAATAAAAGGGCGGAGTCATTTAGAGCTTGAGTATCCACATAAAATCAAAAACATCTGAGGTGGCATGTAGAACTTGGGTTTCCACATTTGATCAATCCTGATTAAACATGTTTCACAAAAAATTAGCACTCACATTATCACAACTGTGTCATCCCTTTGTGAGATGCAATTTTTCGTTATTTTGAAGCCCTACCCTGGCTCTTGCCAGGGGCAGCAATATAGCCAGGCCATAAATATAGTCTAATGGCTGAACGTGGTTTCTGAGACCTCTCCACAGGTGATCCTCATCCACATGGTGGCATTTTGTGTGTCATCGGGTGTTTATTGCTTGTGTGATGTCCTAATGGGGTAAAATTTACTACTACTAATCAGCACTCACACTATCGGTAAAGACTGTGACACTGACACAGCAGGTAATCACAGTTCTAACTTCATACATAACAGGTCATCCCATATTCGATCACATAATGCCTCTATTACTGTCCGCTGTCAATCAGACTCACACAGACTGCAGTCTCCCCAAAGCTAGTAGCATACACATGCAATAAATACAAAAAACAGTCGTTAGAAGAGTCCGGCACTGGAAATGCATTTAATAGTCAATTGAATTATAGTAGATTTGCAGTTGCACACGCAATTAATCGCATAAGGCACCAGCTGTTCTCTAGCAACCGGCCACCCACTATTTTCTGAATCCATTGACAAATGAGTGGCTGAAATTTTAGCGTTCCAGTCTCGTAATACAGCAACACTTGGTCTCGAGCTCCCTGCCTTCCCATACAGTTTAAGGAGTGGGCTAAGAACTCTGCCCTCCCAAACGTTTTTAAAAAGGGAAGGTGTGGGAGGTTGGGGAAGCTCCCATTCTGAATGTGAAACATTTTCAAGAGTGTTAAAAGGTCCTCCCAACAATGTGTACGTTTTCGTTTAAAACAGAACAAAAAATTACGAATTAATTTTATTTAATTTTAAATATTCAGCAAATAATAATAATAATAATAATAATAATAATAATAATAATAATAATAATAATAATAATAATATAATAATAATATAAAAATAATAATTTTATTATTGCACGCTAAAGGAATGCTTCTTCTTCTTCTTCTTCTTCTTCTTCTTCTTCTTCTTCTTCTTCTTCTTCTTCTTCTTCTTTTTCTTCTTCTTCTTCTTCTTCTTCTTCTTCTTCTTCTTCTTCTTCTTCTTCTTCTTCTTCTTCTTCTTCTTCTTCTCTTCTTCTTCTTCTTCTTCTTCTTCTTCTTCTTCTTCTTCTTCTTCTTCTTCTTCTTCTTCTTCTTGTTCTTCTTTTCTCTACTCCTGGAATGCCTCGCAGCCTCAGGGTAAAAAGAAATCTCTGAAAAGGGTCCTTTGGTACGCTTCTTATAAAAAACATTTTAGTGTCTATGATATTTCTGTGGTCCGTGTTCTGCGTGGTCGACCTCTGGTATCTGTATCTGTATACTGCTGTCTGCGGTGCCCTGTCTGATGCCAATCTTGTTACATGACCGAACCATTTGATGTGTAGTCTACCTACAATGTTCACTATTGGTTCTGGGCCGACTCTCCTCCTGACTATTCGTTCCTATATGTATCTTTTCTTTTTACACCCAGCATAGAATGTAAAGATTTCACTTTTATCGTGACTATTTTCCTTCTGTTTTCTGAAAACTGTGTCCATGTTATAGCATTGGTAAGAATGCTTCAGCTAACGATTATTTTCCCTTGTGTCAGCACTTAGGAACTATAGTAACTACTATGTTTTTTGTTGTTGTTGTTGTTGTTGACAGAAAGAGAAACAAACACCAGTGCATGTTGCCACATGGGCAGGAGATGAGGGTGTACTGAAGTGCCTGTACGCTGCTGGAGCTAATTTTAGTATTCCAGATAAGGTATTTGTCTCTTCGTTCGTCTGAGCCACGTCATTGCGTTGTGCCCGTTTACAGTAAAGATGCTATATTTGCGGCTTTCAGTTGATACATCCTGTTTCAACGAGCATTTGTTGACCGGGTTAACTTCCTGAAATGATATATTTAACATAACAAAACTGTGTTTTCTCCATGTATGTTATTCTAGTATGCACCTGATGAGATACAGCGATATATGCCAGACGATAAATTGTTTCTTCTTCTTCTTCTTCTTCTTCTTCTTCTTCTTCTTCTTCTTCTTCTTCTTCTTCTTCTTCTTCTTCTTCTTCTTCTTCTTCTTCTTCTTCTTCTTCTTCTTCTTTTTCTTCTTCTTCTTCTTCTTCTTCTTCTTCTTCTTCTTCTTCTTCTTCTTTCTTCTTCTTCTTCTTCTTCTTCTTCTTCTTCTTCTTCTTCTTCTTCTTCTTCTTCTTCTTTCTTCTTCTTCTTCTTCTTCTTCTTCTTCTTCTTCTTCTTCTTCTTCTTCTTCTTCTTCTTCTTCTTCTTCTTCTTCTTCTTCTTCTTCTTCTTCTTCTTCTTCTTCTTCTTCTTCTTCTTCTTCTTCTTCTTCTTCTTCTTCTTCTTCTTCTTCTTCTTCTTCTTCTTCTTCTTCTTCTTCTTCTTCTTCTTCTTCTTCTTTCTTCTTCTCTTCTTTTCTTCTTCTTCTTCTTCTTCTTCTTCTTCTTCTTCTTTCTTCTTCTTCTTCTTCTTCTTCTTCTTCTTCTTCTTCTTCTTCTTCTTCTTCTTCTTCTTCTTCTTCTTCTTCTTCTTCTTCTTCTTCTTCTTCTTCTTCTTCTTCTTCTTCTTCTTCTTCTTCTTCTTCTTCTTCTTCTTCTTCTTCTTCTTCTTCTTCTTCTTCTTCTTCTTCTTCTTCTTCTTCTTCTTCTTCTTCTTCTTCTTCTTCTCTTCTTCTTCTTCTTCTTCTTCTTCTCTTCTTCTTCTTCTTCTTCTTCTTCTTTCTTCTTCTTCTTCTTCTTCTCTTCTTCTTCTTCTTCTTCTTCTTCTTCTTCTTCTTCTTCTTCTTCTTCTTCTTCTTCTTCTTCTTCTTCTTCTTCTTCTTCTTCTTCTTCTTCTTCTTCTTCTTCCTTCTTCTTCTTCTTCTCTTCTTCTTCTTCTTCTTCTTCTTCTTCTTCTTCTTCTCTTCTTCTTCTTTCTTCTTCTTCTTCTTCTTCTTCTTCTTCTTCTTCTTCTTCTTCTTCTTCTTCTTCTTCTTCTTCTTCTTCTTCTTCTTTCTTCTTCTTCTTCTTCTTCTTCTTCTTCTTCTTCTTCTTCTTCTTTCTTCTTCTTCTTCTTCTTCTTCTTCTTCTTCTTCTTCTTCTTCTTCTTCTTCTTCTTCTTCTTCTTCTTCTTCTTCTTCTTCTTCTTCTTCTTCTTCTTCTTCTTCTTCTTCTTCTTCTTCTTCTTCTTCTTCTTCTTCTTCTTCTTCTTCTTCTTCTTCTTCTTCTTCTTCTTCTTCTTCTTCTTCTTCTTCTTCTTCTTCTTCTTCTTCTTCTTTCTTCTTCTTCTTTCTTTTTCTTCTTCTTCTTCTTCTTCTTCTTCAGCCTAACGGCTGAACGGGGTTTCCGGTACCTCTCCGCCGGTGATCCTTATCCTGCATAGAGGCACATTGTGTCACCAGGTGTTTATCCCTTGTGTGATGTTCTGGTGGGGTACAACTTACCTACCTACCTACCTACCTACAGTGCTTACATTTTGACAGCAGTGAGAACATACAGACACAAATTAAGAAATTCATTTGCAGGACACGTAAAAAATATATGTCTTTATAGATAAAGATATGATAAGACAAAGACGATGAGGTGAGGAACAGGAATTGAGGAAGAAGATTAATAAAAAGGAGATTAAACTGTTTGAAACAAGACTGCCTAACTATCTCCTGATAGTAGATATACTGAGAAGGTGACACATTTACAAAGCAAAAGTCCCAGACTAGAGACCGGCTAGGTCAGGATTTGAACCCATGGCCCTCTGATCCACAGTCGACACGCCTGCCTTGAGTGTACGTGAACATGATATGCATATCTATGAGTGTTAGCAAACACATGTACATGGATTCTCGCTGTGGCGCGTTCGCATGTGTGTATATATACATGTGTGTGAATGCAGACGCGAATGCGTGCATTTACACATGGGCCTGCAGATATGTATGTTATGTGTGTTAATATATGTATTTGTGTGTTAGTAATTTTACACGTATGTCTATATATATGTGTGTGGTTGTGTTTAGTGCATACCAACCCCCTCCCCCACAGCCCTCACTAGATGCTAGAGTGCCGCTCCAAGCCACTAGTTTTGGTGCAGTTGACATTCCTTAGCCAACATAACTGGCACAAAGAAACCAAACCACAATTAAAGCCGATGCTGCTCCCAGTAGGTTGAACGTGGTCGATTTTTGGGTTTTGTTTTACATAAATGGATGGATGGATGCAGTTCTTATTTGTTTTTTCTCTGCTTATCTCCTGTTAAAATGTGTCAAATGAAGCACCATTTTCGAATTCTTGCAACTTTTAATACAAGTGGTTGCCCGGCCATTTCTCACCACTCTTGAATTCATCTAATTTAATGTTTATCATTTTTCCTCATGGATTTGTTTTCAAATTCATTCAACTTTCTTTCCATATCTTTACACAATTTACATTTAGTTAGTTAGTTAGTCTTTCCTCTTGTGTCGAGTGCGGCACATAGGGCAGAGGTCATGACTCTCCATGCATGGCGGTTGGTTGCAATCTGTTGTAGGTCTTGGATGTTTGAATGGCCCATGAGCGAGCCTTCCCTGATGATAGTTCTACGTAGGGTTTCCCTTGGTCTTCCACGAGATCTTTTCCCCTGTGGTGTCCAAATGAGGGCTTGGTAAGGAAGTCTTGATTTATCCATTCTAAGGGCGTGGCCGACATAGTTCCAGCGGCGTTTTCGTATAAAATTAGACACATACTCTTGCCTGGATTTTTGCCTTATTTGTGTATTGGTTCGGAAATCTGACCATTTGAAATTTAGTATTCTTCTAAGGCATTTATTTTCAAAACTGTCTAATTTTGTGTCTATAGTTTTCGTTGATTTCCAGCTCTCGCATCCATAGGTTAGTATTGGAATCACACAAGAATTGAAGATCTTGAGTTTTGTGTGTTTGCTAAGTGTCTTTGATTTCCAGATGTTGGACAGTTTATTGAAGGCACTAGATGCCAGTGCTATTCTAAATGGTATTTCTGGTGCGGTATCTCCTGTAGATGACATCTTGCTCCCTAGATAAGTGAAACTGTTGACTTTTTTCAAGGCTGTTGTTGTTCAGCGTGATATCAACTAATTTACATTTACTGGTGTATATTTTCAGATGGAAAGAATGCCACTCCACATAGCAGCAGAGTGTGGACATACGAGTTTGGTGGATTTCCTCATCAGCCACTGTAAAGCCACCCTCACAGAACGGACACGAGATGGCAGCACTCTCATCCACATCGCTTCCAAATATGGGCATCCGGAAACGGCGCTGGCATTTCTCAAGAAAGGTGTCCCCCTGTTGATGCCCAATAAGGTCAGGGGTTATTTGTTCTCCTCCGCTCCACACCCATTTTCACCTAAACGGATGGCAATACCGAGTATATGTCCCATGTGGTCCTGTATGTGAACGCACAGTTCTCACATTCGCTCTGTGTTTCATTACAAGATCTGTGTGAGAGTGGGAGATAAGAGAGAGAGAGAGAGACAGAGAGAGAGAGAGAGAGAGAGAGAGAGAGACAGAGAGAGAGAGAATAGAGAGAAAAGGAGACAGAACGTGCATGAGAGAGAAAAAGGAGGGAGAGAAAGAGACAAAGACAGTTGGTGTGGGTGAGTGAAAGAAAGAGACAGAGCATGAGAGTCAGAGGGGCGTGTGTGCGTGTGAGTTTGTGTGTGTGTGTGCGAGCGAGCGAGAAAGAGAGAGAGATATAGATAGATAGATAGATAGATAGAGAGAGAGAGAGAGAGAGAGAGAGAGAGAGAGAGAGAGAGAGAGAGAGAAAACAGAGCGAAAGAGAGAGAAGGGAGTTCAGTTCCTATTAGTTCAGGTTAATTTAACGCCATTCAAACTTTACAAATGGTCAAAACTTTAGGATCCCTAGAAAACTATTATGTATGCTATACTTTATCTCTATCTCATCACCATCGTCGTCATTCTCATCCTAATCCTCATCATCACCATCATCCTGAGCATTATTCATCATGTAGCAGGTCCTTTGCAGAAAGTGGCTCCCAGCACCATAATCAAGAAAACCACTGGATCCTTTGGCAACTTTCCCCCCTGGTGAACTTTCACCCTCATGATGTCCTCGATATCCTGTGTCCATCGTCATGCTGTCCCCGTCCCCGACTTCCGGTCAACATTGAGGATAGGCAGGTTTACTGTGTATTTTTTTTAGTCGTTGCCTGTTTTTGCTTGTGACAATAATTGGCCGTTGCATTTCCCCTCATATGTAGACTGAAAAGAGCTGAGTGCATGGTGCGACACTGTGAAATGCGGATTTAATTTGGAAGGCTCTTCGGCTTTGCTTAGTGTGATCTATGGTCTATGTTGTGATTTGTGGTCTATGTTGTGATCTGTGGTCTATGTTGTGATCTGTAGTTTCAGAAAACGGCGAGTGCCCTGTTGTCACAGAAGTAGGGTGCCTTGTGTGAAGCCAACTAGTGATCTGTTGTAACTGCTACTTCCAATAAACTGCATTTCTAGTGTCGCATTGTTTGTATTGGCCCTTCTGACGGCTGCCTTATGCATTAAACACGTGTGTATGCTATCAGATTTGCCGAGACTTCGGTCGGTGTCTAAGTTTTTCTCAATAGTTAATAAGGGATATAATGTGTAGTTTTCTCTGGGGTGACACGTTTGATATGTAGCTGGAACTAGTCTTAAATGTTTAACTGACTGTCTCTTACCTCTTCTTACAGGAACCATACCATCCCTTCCCCTCCTCCAACTCACCCCACGATCATTATAGTTCTGTCCAATCCATTATGGCTTCTAATGTAGCCATTTGTTAACGAGAAAAAAACAAAATACTGTTTATGGGCCATTTCCCCTTGATATTTAGATTGAGATGAGTGACAGCATTCTCTCTGTTCTTGGTAAACGATTTGCTAACAAATCTTCCCGTGACTTTTAATTTCAAATCCTTGATTTTCTTCAATAATGATTACGAATTATTCCACAAGCCAAATGTGTATGTTCCCAACATAAAACTGTATGTTTTCTGGATTTTCACTTTCAGATCTAGCTCTTTCAAAATGTTACTTAACTGCTTATTTTGCGTATTACCTGGCATCCTTTGCTCTTTACACAGGATGGGGCTATATGTCTTCATGTGGCAGCCATGATGGGCCACACAAACGTTGTGAAGGCGCTCATTGCCAAAGGAGCTGCTGTGAATTCGGCAACAAAGGTATGTTTGTTATGTTTCTATTACGCCCTTTTCTCGGATAAAAAAGTATCTTCTTCTTCTTCGCTTTCACTGGCTGTATAATTCCGGCGTACAGTTCTGGTTGTTCGTCCACTTCTGGAATTTATTCTTGTTTCAGAACTTGAGTTTTGCTTGCACATTTGCTTAACAGGTCCGGTCTATCTGTATGCAGGCCCGGCTCTCTAGCGTAATTGGCTAAACCGGATTGCGAGGAGACCGGGTGACGAACTCCTTGTGGTCCGGGTTCAATCCCGGGGGTAGGCAGAAAAGCCACATTTATCCCAGATTTACGGTATTTACAATGGAATCAAGGCCGAAAGGTTTCGATATCTATAATACCGAGCCTAAGGGTTAACACCTCATGGCTTCTGGATACTAAAACAAACAAACATTTGTATGCAGACTGTTGGTGCTCTTGGGCAGATGCTCTCCGACTTTAAAAACAACACCCCTAATTATTAGACTTTTACAAAATGCTTGTTAGTGAGGCAGTGCATCTATTTCTTCAACACCCCCCCCCTCCCCCCCCCTCACAATGGGACCATAGAACTCACAGTGGGAAGAAATAGATATAGCCTAAATGAGCGTTCAGACCAAGTGGTGACACACCCACCTGCCAAGCCAAGCAGAAGTAGGCCTCTAACTGGTCAATATATATGCACACCTCTCCATGGTTACCTCGGAAGAAGATTTGCTACCTGTAAAGTTAGTACTGACGCTACCTTCGAAGTATTAACGTATCTGCCTGAGAGTGAGAAACCACCAATCTGCATTAAAAATGAAACCCCCGAGTAAGCCGGATCAGTATAACAGATATGAGCTAAGAGAAAACAAACACATTAACCTGATCCGGGATTCTGGTAATTGTATGAGATAGCGAACATGACAGCCTTCGCTTACCGGCACGGTACATGATTATGAAAATGAATTGTAGAAAGAAGAAAAGAAGAAAAAAAAAGAAGAAGAAGGAGGAGGAGAAGAAGAAGAAGAAGAAGAAGAAGAAGAAGAAGAAGAAGAAGAAGAAGAAGAAGAAGAAGAAGAAGAAGAAGAAGAAGAAGAAGAAGAAGAAGAAGAAGAAGAAGAAGAAGAAGAAGGAAAAGAAGACGAAGAAGAAGAAGAAGAAGAAGAAGAAGAAGAAGAAGAAGAAGAAGAAGAAGAAGAAGAAGAAGAAGAAGAAGAAGAAGAAGAAGAAGAAGAAGAAGAAGAAGAAGAAGAAAAGAAGAAGAAGAAGAAGAAGAAGAAGAAGAAGAAGAGAAGAAGAAGAAGAAGAAGAAGAAGAAGAAGAAGAAGAAGAAGAAGAAGAAGAAGAAGAAGAAGAAGAAGAAGAAGAAGAAGAAGAAGAAGAAGAAGAAGAAGGGAAGAGAAAAAGAGGAAGAAGAAAAAGAAGAAGAAGAAGAAGAAGAAGAAGAGAAGAAGAAGAAGAAGAAGAAAGAAGAAGAAGAGAAGAAGAAGAAGAAGAAGAAGAAGAAGAAGAAGAAGAAGAAGAAGAAGAAGAAGAAGAAGAAGAAGAAGAAGAAGAAGAAGAAGAAGAAGAAGAAGAAGAAGAAGAAGAAGAAGAAGAAGAAGAAGAAGAAGAAGAAGAAGAAGAAGAAGAAGAAAAAGAAGAAGAGGAAGAAGAAGAAGCAATAGGAGGAGGATGAGGAGGAAGAGAAAAAGGGGGAGAAGGACGAATATTACTTATAATGTCTAACAGGTGTACTGTCGCAGTTCTGACAGTACTTCTTGCATTCCAAAATACACAGAGAGCTACATCCAATAACTATTAGTGTAATTTGCTAAAACATGCTTAATTTATATGTCATTATGAAACGCATTCTAAAATAAATATTGGCGAAGAAATAGTTATGCCGCAAGAACATTTGTCCAGCTACAATCTCAGATTTCATGGGGACATTTTAAGCTGTCATTTTTCTTTATTATCCCGATAGTTTTCGCATCTCACATTTTCATAAGATATACACACATGTTGCACATATCTTAATTTGGCACTGTACGTTGCAATGTTAAAAAGTTATGAACATTTAAAAAATTATTTGTTAAAACACAAAACTCTTAAAGAGGAAGCGCTTATTGTACGACGTAAGCATTCAAGTATTTTCTTTTTTATCCCACAAAACAAGGATGGCCAGACTGCCCTGCATCTTGCAGTCAAATACAAAATGCCACAAGTTGTTCAGGCTCTTATTGGGTGTGGAGCTCAGGTGGAAACCAAGGGTGGTGAGGTAAAAATGTTCATTTGTCACTATGTTCGTCAAGGGTTAATTACTTGCAAAGTTCTTAATATCTATGTAGAATTAGTTCTGATGGGAAAAAGGGAATCATGGGCAGTCAATAGATTATTAAGAAATTGTGTGAAAGCTGCAGATATCCGGTTTCAGTAGAAGAATGACGAGCCCACTACGGGCGATTAAAACATGCAATACAAATGTCGTCAAAGGAAAAGTTCACTATAATATGCACCTGACGAGATACAGCGAAACATGCCAGGCATTTCGACTGGTCTAAAACGATGGCGCTAAACCCGAAATGCGTTAAGGCTCAACAAGTAATCATTTACCTACTAGGACAGTAAGTAAAGTAAACTAAAGCACCTTTTTACTCGAGCAATGCCTCAAACAATGACAGTCTCTTATTTTCGTAGACCAGTTGACACCGGGTGGATGATGAGATACATATCACGCCGGTCGCCTTTGATTTCCAAGGAATTGTCGGTACCCATTTTTGCTAGGCTCACCTACAAACAATTCATTTGTTTTTCCAAATCCGCACTGTGCGGATTCGAACCGTAAACCTTCGGGCTACATGGCTAGCGCCTAGCCACAGTGCTACCGCCAGCCCGCTTTATATATTACTAAACATTCATCAAATATATACATGAGTATTTACAATATCAGGATAACTTAACCAGCTTGTTAACTGACTTTAACAATTTCAGCATTTAGAGACTCCGCTTCACATAGCCGCGCGGACAGAAGAGGGCGAGACATGTGCCGAAATGTTACTGAAAAGTGGCGCTGATGTCAATTCTACTCGAGAGGTGAACAAACTGTCTAGTTATTTATTATTTAACATGATTGTTTTGTTCCAAGGGGCCGTCTCCACAACCAAAGTTAGCTGCAGTGGATCATTAACACTTTCTATCCTAAATTACGCCAGATTGCTGTTTTCCCGCTGTCACCTCTTGCTTATCTGCTCGCCTGCGTTTCTACTGTATCATTTCTATAAGGTTGTCATATATGTTAATCTTCGGGATAATATGGAACGACTTTCAGCAGTGCCCCTTAATAAAGAGTCGAGATAGATACCAGTGAAACAGAAGTGATGAGAAATAATTAGAAAGCAGAAAACCCAATTATCTTAAACAACGAAGTAATAGAAGACGTTGAAGAATTTATGTGGCTCGGGAGCAAAGTTACTGAAGATAGAGATTCTTAACATGGCGTAACATCAAGGGGAAAAAAAGCAAATCAAGCATTTGCCAAACTTAACAACATATAGAAGTCATAGTGACTTAGTTTGAAGATAACGAATATACAAGAACAACATTTTAGGAATACTGTTTAACAACACTTGGTGTTGGGAAATGGCAACAATAATCATGCATAGACTAGGAATCTGTTTGAATAATCGTCTTTGGAGAATCCTGTGATTATTTTAGCAAAACAAAATCCCAAATGGAGAACTCAAGAAAACAAAATGTTCAGATTTGACAAACGTTTTTATTCCCTCTTGTGCTAGGGGCAGAAAACAGCAGGTCGATAGCAATGGAGATCACCTGCGAATGTCTCACGTGTCAACAGCAAACATGAAAATGCTATATACAGCAATAAAAAATTATATGCATTAGTTATTCAGGGACACAGAACATTACTTTATACGAAGCGAAAAAAAGAGCCCGTTCCAGAGATGTCTCCCTGCCCTGACTCCGCGAGGCATTACAGGAGTAGATTTGATTTAATTTGATGTGATTCAAGAACCGACATCACAGCACTCGGGGCATCCCCTTAAGCGCTCCGTTCCCATCTTCAGCAACCAGCGAAGAGTTCCGATACTAATGGTGCCAGTGGCATTCTGATTAAACACCCGTCTTGCCTTTCCTCCGAGCATCTGCCAGAACCTCTCGTCACTCCCCCGTGCATCAATCTCACCAGACTGTGGTGATCCATCTGCTCCTCCAAACTGTACACGCTCTCCCACAAGGCACTAACCACGTCTGCCTTATCATGTATCAGTATTCAGGGGTAGAGAAAAGAAGAAGGAGAAGTTACCCAGTTGTTTAAAAATGAATGAGATCTTTCATGATGTGGCTCAAAATATCTTTTCCTTTCTGACAGAATGGTGAAACAGCACTGCACGTGTCAGCCAGGTACGGGAGACTCAGTGTTCTCAGAGCTCTGCTCAGAGAGGGGGCCAATCCGATGTACCAATCGAAGGTAAAACATCTCATTACTATGTAAATTTACCACATTTTACGGTTCCTCTGTGTTCATCTAGGTTAAGATTCGACCTCACAGCATCCAGGACAAGGGCGTATTAGGTTCATATCTGTCTACAACAACCAGATAAGAAACGCCATAACTGATGGCACCCGTTCACATTTGGTTAAATACTCTTTATTGACTTGGGTGGGGGGGGGGGCGGTGAGGGTGTTGGACAGTTTGAACAGACGGCCTCGAATCCTGGACAGTTAATAAACAAGCCAAACCATTTCTTAAGGCCTCGGTGATGTGGTTTCACACACACACACACAATCCTTAGAATTCCCTGGACGGTCTTAAAAAAAAAGAGCAGCACAGATGTTTTGAAAGACAACTTATTACAAAGGTCATTTTCTTTAAAAAAAAAAAACGCGGGCTCTTTCCGAATTGAGTCTACGACCTTCATATCTACATGTGTGTAGCCTCTACACCACGGTGGCTGCTATAGCAAAGGTAACATTTGTTACATTTAAACTTAAAAGTCAGGCTTTGAAAATAATTAAAGTTCTGTAACATTTGTTACAATTTAACTTAAAAGGTAGATTTTAAAAATAATTCAAGTTCTGTATGTTGTTTTCAAAGTTGGACTGTTGTGTTTCAGTCTGTAAAAAAAAAAAAAAAATAAGATTATTAATGATCTAATATTATGTTGGAATGAGTGAATATTAGTTTATCCGGCTGTTATCATCCCGTCATATCACAAAAGGCAATTTTTGGTTATTTTAAAGCTCCGCTCGGTTGTCGTAGGGGACCCTAATATAACTTAACGATTGAACGGGAATTCTAGGACTTGCGCCTGGGGGATTCTCATCCAATTGTTGGCACTTTGTGTCACTGAATGTTAGTCGCTCATTGTGCGCTCCTGGTGAGCCTGAACGCCACTCACTCACCTTCATCCGGCATTGAATGTCACTCACATTCTCTTCTCCTTCTCTGCTGAATTAGTCTCGGCATGTATGAAAATTGCTCTGCTGAACTGTAGGTTTGAGGTTTGAAGTTTGAACAACGGATGAACATCACGGCACACGGGTGTAACCCATAGGTGCTCCGTTCTTCTTCTAGCTCAAGTCCGAATCCGAAGAAGCTCAGCACAGTGCACAGGCTCTGTGGCACCGGCGAGGATCCTGAAATACTTTCTGTAGATTTGTAACTGCAAACTTTGCCTGGGCAGCGCCGTTAGGCTACTCTTTTCGATTTCCAACTGCCAAGGGATTTTTTACGTGCACAACAGGCATCCGATCTCATGACTCAGAGACCGGGGGGAATTACTCCAATTCCAAGTCCACGTGAAGAAAATCCCAGCTGTTACCGGGGATTGAACCCGGAACCTATAGTACTCGAGGGGGACACCATTCCTCGAGACCACACAGTCCCTTTCTGAACTCTCATACCTTATTATAGTTTCGACATACAAAAG